CATCTAGGCACATATTGATCTGATTCAGTTAATTCATTCATATTCTCTCTGGCCGAGGATTTAGCTCAGTGATTCTGCCGCCTGCCTCGCAAGCACAAGATCCGGAGTTGGATCCCCAGTACCCCCCCCGCCCCCCCGCCAAAGGTAAAACATATTCTTGCTTTCTCTTTTCTCTTCTCTATCTTCCTCTCTTTCTCTCCCTCTCTCTTCCTCTCTTCTTCTCCCCACCCCCCGTCCTTGAACTCCCAGTGATCCTTGTGCCTCAGCCTCATGAGTGCTGGGATTATATGCGTGTCACCACACCCAGCCAATTAATTAACAAATCATAGATCTTTGTAATCCACAGTATTTTATGATACATGACATGTGCTCAAAGCCCTTTGCTATCATTTAGAATTCTGTTCTTATCTAACTCTTTTGGGGCTATGTGTACTATGTTGATGATATTATGTACAAGTGAAACTGGGAGCTTACATTGGGTGCCATAGCACACATGTGACATAATCAGTGAGCGAGGCTAAGGCAGGAGGATTGCAAGTTTGAGCCAAGCCTGGGCAATTTAGCAGCTTAGTGAGACTCTGTCTCTAAATTTAAGGGGGGGGGAAAGACCTGGGGATGTAGTTTAGTGCGGCCCTGGATTCAATCCTCAGTACTGTAAACAAACAAACAGGAGATTCTATAAGAGCCATAGCAACCAATGGAGATAATGTGTATAGTGTATCTTGGGTGTATGTGTGAGGAGTTAGGAGGGAAGACTCCACATCAAAAATAACCTTGAAGCATCAGAGAAAAAGAAATTTGGTTAGATTATTTAAATCAGCAATATGTTGATCTTAGATATGAAAAATTGGGCGTATGTTAATTGGGTATAAACAGATAAATCAAGGAGAGCAATACTTTTCTGACATTTTCTTTATTCTTGGAATTTATTTCCAATAATCTGCCCTTTCCTCTTTTGAAGACAATAATTGTCCTTTCTTAGAATAAACTACTTCCCCTTCTCTCTCAAATCTTTATTTAACCTTTAAACCTTTCCTTGATAGTAGTAGCCTTCTGTTTCCCAAAAGAGTCCATTTGACTGTGGGCAGTTGTAATGGTTATACATTCCTAGGACCTTCCTATGACTTCCATACTTGGCACTATTTCTGCCTTGTTAATGACTACATCATTAATCTACAGGGCAGCTCCAAAAATATTTGAAAGGTGCTGTCAAATTTCTCTTAAGCCCCGCCCTCCTCCTTTTCAGGCTAACCATCCATTCTTCAACCATTTTTATGTCATGGTTTCCAGTTCCTTTACTGACCTGATTGCTCTTCTTTGGGTCTCCAGCTTGTCAGTGCTAGCTTTCAGGTAGGATTTTGTAGTCTGAGCAAAACCTTTCTATGTAGGACAGCTTGGCACTATCACATTTCTTTAACATATTCAAGACATTAGTGTTTTCATCATGTGTCACCCTGTTTCTCTGCTTCTCCAAGGTTAGCACATGTTGTGTGCCACAGTTTGCTGATGCCGTCGCATTCTCCCATGCAGTTAGGATTTGCTTGTGTTTTTGTTTTTAATAGAATTCATTGTGTTGACTTCAGAGGACTGGATTTTGTACTGACAGAGGCCTTTGTTCATGGGCACTTAATAAATATTTCCTAAATGTAACTGAATAAATAATGAGCCTTTGTTTATATTCCCTTCTCATGATACATGTAGCAATTTGACCCAGAGTTGTCAGGATTAGAAGTCAAAACATTAAAATTGGTCTTATCAGAGCCTGACATTGGGAAAACAGGTTTACTTCAGATGAGTTTTGTATTCAACTTTTTGTTTGAAATGTTTTTAACAACTATGTTGTTTTTACTTGGGAATTGATTTATATTTTATGTAAGTTTATCTTAGAGAATAATAGTAGTTATTTATTATGTTATTCATTCCCATCTTCCTCTTCCCTCACTGATAGTATGGTGGCTTTTGTTAAAACAACAGTTAATCAGCATGGTTCTATAAATAGTCAGTCAAGGTACTGGGCCAACTGCTTGTCTTGTTCTTTGTTTTCTTTCCAAGTCTTGGGAGGGTCATTATAACCATTATCAGATACAGAGTATAACTAAGTGGATTTTCCCCTTCTGTCCTTCCTGTGCAGTGAAGGAAACTACAGTAAAGGAACCAGGAAGTTTATGGTGGTCATTATTGCAAGGGCTAAGGAAAACAATAGCAGCCAAAAATGCCATTTACCTGAAACTTTTTTTTTTTGGTACTGGGGATTGAACTCAGGACCTTGCATTTGCACGGCAGGCGGGGTGCCACTGAGCTAAATCCCCAGCCCAACCTGAAACTTTTAAGTGATTTGGTTGAAGAAACACTTGCCAAAACACAGTTGCCTTTATGTAGAGGAATTTGAGAATTAAATTTACTAATGTAACTGCAGTTAAGTTTTTTGTTTGATACTATTTTTAACTTTTTATTCTAACATGAGGATGTGAGGAGATAGACATTTCAAGTATAAATAATATATACTACCGTACCTTAATCAATTAAGATAAGCTGGATGTGCCACAATTTGTGTCAAGTTTTTATGGTATCCAGGTCTAGAAAGAGGAAGATGGGATCTTATTTTTAATGTTCACAAAGTCAAAAATACTGATACATGTAGTACTAGTGGTGATTTGGTTCATTTTAGTTCATACTAAGTTAACATGAGCTGAGACCAAACCTCTTTAATCAAAGTCAAAACGAAAAAGACATGTTCTTTCCTCCGTGTTTCTTGGAAGAACTTAGTTGAGTTGGAAGAGTCATGAATGGGCAGTTTTCAAAAAGTAAAAATGCAGTTTTGTTGTTTCATACAGAATGCAAATTCTTTTCCTTTAAGAATTCTTCCTCAGGGTTGCATGATGTTCTGGAGGGACTTATTCATGGTTTACAAGGAACCTTGTGGCACCTAAGAGAAGCTTAAATAGGCTGATGTTGCTGTGAACATCTCAGAGACAGAATATTATGTAGGAAAATCTTGACATCCTGAATGTCCATTTTCCTAAGAAGAGAAAAAATTCTTAGTTTCTGATTCACTTTTCTCCCACTAATTGCCTGTTTCTTTTTATAAATTAAAAAATGTGGTAAAAAGACACAACATAAAAGTTATGGTTTTAAACATTTTAAGTGTAGAATAGTGTTCAATATGCAGAGCTCCAGACTTTTCATTTTGCAAAACAAAAGCTGTTCAAATTAACCTGAATTTTACTTTTGTGTTTCTGTGATTTGAGAACTTCAAATATTTCGTATTTCATACATATTTGCCTTTTTGTTACTTTTTAGTTCTCTCACTTTCCTCAGAGTTCATCTATGTTGTAGTATGTGTCAGCATTTCCTTCCTTTTTAAGGTTGAACAATAAATAGTCCATTGTATTTGCCCATTCACCTGTAGATGGATGTTTGGATTGCTTCCACCTCCTGGCTTTTGTGAGTAATGCTGGTATGAACATGGATGTACAAATGTCTCTTCCAGATCCTTTCATTTCTTTTGTATATCCAGAAGCAGAATTATTATTTTGTTTTGTTTTGTTTTTTGGAACCAAGGATTGAACTCAGGACCTTACGCTTTTGAGGCAGATGTGGTGCTGAGCTAAATCCCAGGCCCAGAAACAGAATTATTTTTGAAGAATTACCATACTGCTTTTTCATAGTAGCTACACCATTTTGCATTCCTTCCAAGTATGCATAAGGTTTCTCAATTTTTTCACATTTTTGCCAACACTATTTTTATAGTAGCTATAATTTTTGTATCAGCTTTAAACACTAATAATGATCAAATAATTTTTGATAGCAGGGGTACACAAGTATGATTTGTGTACACTAGAAATGAGTTAAAATTTTTCTTTGTTGATTTTTTTTTTTTTTTTTAAAGACAGGGTCTTGCTGTGTAGTTCAGGTTGGGCTTGAACTCATATGGCCATCCTCCTTGCGTCAGCCTCCCAACTGCCAGAATTACAGGTGTGTGCCACCACACCTGGCTTGTTTGTGGATCAACTCAGGAAGAAAAAGCAGTGGTGCATTATCACAGCTAAAATCACAGATCCCAAACTTGGCAGAACTATGAGGAAAAATAAGTTCAGTAAAGCATATAATGGAGAAAGCATTAATCATGTCGTGAGAGTTTACAGATAACAGGTGTATAGTGCATTGGGATGTTTCTTGCTCATTCATGGAAACGTTTCAGAGACTGCAGAGTCATGGAAGATGGATTAAGGTGGTGGTTCAGCTATCTCCAGTGATTCACTTTTTCCCCTCTTACTGCCTTCCTGTTAAATCTTGAAAATGAACCCTCTGAAAAATTAAGGAAAAAACCCCCAAATGCTTAGGAAGTTTTATTTATGTCATCAGTAGTTTTTTGTTCGTGTAGTCGGTTAATATTAAAAATAACTTTAATCTGCTTCTTCTAGACAATGTATTTTGGAAAGCCTGGTAAACTTGGATAGAAGAACATGGGAAATTTATGACCTAAGATCAGTAATGGCAGAGTAACACTTTTAAACAATCCTTTTTGGACTTTTAAGAAGCCAAACGCTCCTCTGGTGACACAAGCAATAGCCACAATATGAATAAAGTGTCTCCGACTTTTTAACTTTTTAATCATTTTTCTCATTCTCAGCCTCCCCAAGTTTTAGTTGCTTTTCACCTTTGTCCTTCGTTTTGTAACAATCCTCTGTTCTTTGCGACCTTCCTCATTCCATCTTCCCTTGCAATAGCAGCTGGAGGAGCGCATTTAAGGCACTTAATCTTCTATTTCAGTAAACCTTCTTGGCCAGTGGCAGGCTTTCCCATTACATTCCCCCACCCCCGCAGTCTTCCTGGAACGCTTCCTGTTTTGCTCTCCTGCTGCCTGTTCTCTTGAGGCCTTCTTCTTGGTTTTGCTTTTCCTCACAGTCTGCATGACCGGAAGCGGGATCGGCGCTCTGGCGCACTTCCGGTTGTGCAGCCACTTCCTGTTACGCAGCGGGCCGTGGTGCGGGGGGGGGGGGCAGCTCACCCTTGAGGTGGAAGTGTCAGTGTGGTCTAAGCTCAAGCCTGCTGGAGGAGATGTCAGAAGACCCAAAGCCGAGATACTTGTAAGGGAGCTCCTAAACTTTCTCCAGAGGGTTGGAGGAAGGTCAGAGGCATGGGAAGACTGCACAAAGACGGGTTTAGCTATTTCTGCTGCCGTGATGTCACGCATCAGTAGTTTTATTTTCTTACCATAACTGTTTTTATATTTTTAAAAAAACTTGTGTATTAATGACAATCCCCAACAAATGTCCACTTGTGGTATTAGAAGTAATGAAAAAAGTATGTACTTGAGCTTTCCTGTCCACACCATTGGCAGTGGCTCTTCAGTATTGAAAACCATTTTGACAGTTACTTCAGGCCCTGCACATTTTCCTAAACCCTAATTTGGGGCACTATGCTGAGTGAATAATATTTGTTTGTATAATACTGGAAAGAGTTTGTGTAGGTTTATTTTCGCCTAAAATACAATGCTTTTCTTTCTGTGAAGCCTGTGTTTTTTAAAGTTTCTTAGTGGTTCCGGTGTTAATAATTGTGGTAATCAAGCCTCATTTATCTGCATGATGTAAAAAGAAAAGGCTTCTAGTGTAATGGTTAGGAGGCCAGTCTCTGAGCTGCTTGAGTTTAACAAGCCCCAACACTTACAAACTGTTTTCACTATAGCCCCTAGTTTCTCAATTGCAAATTAGTTTCTGTCTCATAGGATTGTAGAATAGACAATTTAATTGTTAACAGATCCATAGTCCCTTATCTGAAATCTTTGGGGATAGATGTGCTTTAGAAGCCTTCAGATTTTATGAGATAACAGTAGATAGGTAACATGTAGTGAGGTCTAAGGAAGCACCTAGTAATTAAGAAGCATATCAATATGCAATGAAATGTGAACCATTACACTGTGTGAGCTACATTTAAACTATAAAGTACAGTGGACCCTTGACTTACAAACTCGATTGGTTTCTGAGGGCTGGTTGTAACTCAAGTTGGTTGTAAGTCAGTATAGCTGAGATCTGGATGTTTACCTAGGTACACTCTATAGATAATTAGAGGCAGATGAATCTGCCATTAACCTAATTAACCCAAATTGGCTGGTCATAACTTGAGGGTCCACTGTATTTCACACTATGAGTTATGTCTTCTTTTTTGAGACAAAGTCTCACTTTGTAGCCCAGCCTGGCCTGGAACTAATGGCAATCCTTCCTGCCTCAGTCTACTAAATGCTGGGATTACATGTGTATGCCACCATTCCCAGTTTAACTTCAGGTTATGTTTTGCCATCCAGTAAGCTTGCATATTTCTCCTGTGCCAAACACATAGCTTTAGGCTTGCAGAGTAACTGTGTAACTGTGGATTAGAAGTATAGACTTAATTAGCAATTACATTTCAGCAGTGCCTGGTAGATAGTTAGCACAATATAAAAGTTATGTGAAAAACTGAATTTTTTCTATTCCTGATGACTTTTTGGTTTGTCATTATTTAAAAGAGAGTTAAACCATTGTGATTTAAAGTGTACATAATGGGATAACACACATATTACTTGTGTGTTTTTCATATTACTATTTCATTTGAGTTTCATATCTGCCCTTTTTCCAGTTGTAAAAGAACAAAATAGAGAATGAGATAGGATAGTTCAGTGCTCATCTTAACTCCTTCTTGCTTAGCCAACCAGATGGCTCCTCAAAGAACAAATTTTTAAAGAGATGTCTATTGGAAAGATTTTTTTTTTAATTTCATGTTTTCTTTATAACTTGATTTCTGCCTTAATGTGTTTCTACACTTAAGCACACTCAAGAATATAAAGCACCTTATACTTCTTAATCTTTTGATCAGCTTTACTTCCTGCCAATGGATCATTTCTTTTTTTTTTTTTTTTTTGGTACCATTGTGGGGCTGGGGATTTAGCTCAGTAGTTCTGCTGCCTTCCTCACAAGTGCAAGGTCCCAAGTTTGATCCTCAGTACCAAAAAATAAAATAAAACAAAATAATTAGTCTGGGTTGGTGATGCATGCCTGTAATCCCAGCACTCTAGGAGGCTGAGACAGGAGGAGCACAAATTTGAGTACAGGCTGGGCAATATTTTCAGCGTGGCAAGATCCTATTTCAAAACATTAAATGTCTGGGGATGTAGCTCTTGGTAAAGCCCTAGATTTAACCATACAATGAAATCTGATATTCAAGATTTTATATTTTTTCTTCTTGCCCTTTCTTTATCCATTATCATTAATCTATCTATAAACATTTATGGGAAGATTTGGGTAATGAAAGAGACACTAAATTTAAGACATATCAATATGGTTTACTAAAATCAACTTGGAATGATAAATCAAAATTGCTCCCTATCTTTTTTGAAGTAAGCGTTTTCTTTGTATAAATTTATCGATGTGTTGCTTCATGTTACATGATGTGGAATATTATTTATAAGGATTATTTTATAGTTTATCCTACTAGATCTTTTCCCTCTGTAATTGTGTTTAAACTTTAGTCATTTGGTACATTTTATTTTTAGTCTCACAATATTTAAAATGCTATATGTTACTCCTATAACAGGTAAAAGACAAGGCCATAGTCAACAAGGGTGAGACTGTTCTGTTTCATATTTGCTACACAGAAGCCAAGGAGGTAAATAAGAAACTAAGATATCTGAAGTACTTCTACTCAGTCTTCTATTTAAAGTTTAATACAGGTAGATTAATTTTTTGGTTGTCATAGTGAGCTTAGTTTTAAAATGAGATGACAGTTAAAATATAAAACTTCCCTGTGTGTGTGTAGTATAGAAATGGCTGTAACAACAGAAAGCCAAAATAATGTGGCTTAAAAATAATAAACATTGAAGCTGAGAACAATGTTACGTGTCTGTAATCCCAGGCTTTGGAAGGCTGAGGCAGGAGGATCGAAAGCTCAAGGCCTTATCTTGACACAAAAAAGTTTGAAATTAAGGCAACTAAGTGAGACCTTGTCCCAACACAGTATTTTCTTCTTCTTCTTCTTCTTCTTTTTTTTTTTTTTGGCTTTTTGAGACAGGATCTTACTCTGTAGTTTAGGCTGGCCTTGAACTCACTGTGTATCCCAGGCTGAACCTCGAACTCACAGTAATCCTCCTGTCTCAGCCTCGGAGAGCTGGGGTTACAGGCATGCACCACACACCCAGTCCAACACAAAAATATTTTAAAAGGGCTGGGGGTCTGGCTCAGTAGTGGAATGCTTATAGGTTAGATCCCAGTACCACCAAAACTAATAGTAATAATAGGACATTTATTTCTCACATAAAAGCCTGGAAAATGGTCCTTGGTTGGGATGTTCAGTCCACATTTATCGGAGACTTGATATTTTGATACTCTGCCTAGTTCAACCAGTAGCTGTCATCTTCTAGACACCAGGAAGGAGAAAAGAAATGCTCCCTTTAAAAAGGCATAACCTAAATCACTTCTTTCCACAGCATAGGCCACAACTTGATAATATAGGCCTAATTAGCAGAATAATATAGGCCTAATTAGCAGAGTAATTTAGACAATTGTGTGCCCCCTGAAGCTTATTACTATGTAAAATGGAAAGGATCCTGGAGAAAATGGGTAGTTGCTACTGAAGTGTGTGGTGAATTGTGGATATTCATAAACAAAAGAAGACTTAGCTCCATTTGTATAGCCATTGGGATTTGTAAATCACAGGCCTTGGGCTTCTCTGAAAAGCATCCAATAAGTCATCTGTGGAGAAAAAGATCTTCTAATTCTTAATTTAGGAAGGAATTTGTAAGGATATGCAATTACTTCAAAAGGATAAAATGAGTTGGACACACAGTATAAAGCTCAGTGGTAGAGTCCTGCAGAAGGATTGGTTTGATCCCCACCACCTCAAAAAGAAAATAAAATGTATAGTTTTAGAAGCAATTCAGTCAAGATGGGAATATACTTAATTCAACTTTCATTGAGATCCATCTTTTTAGAATTTTATTGTCAATATACAAAATCGTATCTTCTGTCATGCCCCCTCTCCCCCACTCAGCAGTAAATTTTAGATTTTATCACCAATATGGATCTCACTTGGAAAAAATGCTATATGGTGTTTACTTGGGGAAATTTTAAACAATGCTGTTAATATATCTGTCATGTATTTCGCTTGTGATTACATGTTTTGCTAGACGATGGATTATAGATAGCTCCCTGATATAAACAGGAGGTTTCTAAAGCCTCTTAGTCCATTTCACCATCTTGTCTCAGCCATCTATAGGTTGGCCTTACATTACTTCTAAATTTTCTCTTTGAGAATACATATACTGTTAGAAATCATAGGGCTCTGACTGGGAAAGAAAACAAAAATTACTAAGAAGTTTACAACTGCAGTCTTCACAGTTAAATTCAAATGGCTCATAGAAAAGATAAACTAGATAAATTTTCTCTTTCTAGAGAATGTTTGTATAGTTCCTTTCTGTTAGAATATTAGAATTTAATTTATTACATGTATGTAAGTTGAGCGTTAGAAAAGTAACCTCATATCTGCTATATTTCACATACTTGTAACATTTAACATGTGTGAAGTCCTTTTGTGCACATTTTTGGGTGTACAGCATCACTGAGGTGTGGAAACCAAGGTGTTTGTAAGATGATACATTCCCATTATTTGACTCTAGTGCTGTTCTGCTGTTGGCTTGATGATCAGCTCTCCCATTTGTTCCCGGTAGTAGTCTTAAAACCAACTTTCTTTTCCATTCCCTCTCCTCTTGACTATGTTGCCTCAAATTGAAGTTAGGGCTCCTTTTCTATTTAGGACTATAAACTTTTCAAGTGGAAGCAGCAGTGCATAAAGAAGAAGATAACTGATAGAAATTTATAAGACTTTGAAAAAAAGGTATATAGTGAACAGTGGGTAGAAATGGGCTTATTGGGTGAGAGCACTTGGACTTGTGAGTCAGGTCTTGTTAGAAGTTTAAGTCTTGACTCTGTCACTCTCTGCTTGTGTTACCTTGAACAAATTTTGAACCTATTTCCTCATCCATAAAATAAGGACAGAAAGACCAGGAATACTTAATTGGAGTTAGGATTAAATAAATAATGCATGTAGTAAAATGCTTGGTAGTATGTTTGTATTACACAAGTATTACACAACTCTATATACTGTTAATTTTTTTTCTCCATATCCCATTTATCAAACTCTCAAAGACCATATCCATAGGGGAGTGAGGCCCCTTTCTTTTGTTAGTCACCCTAGCTGGCTTGCCTGCCCAGCCCTTGAAGTTGAACTCAGGCTTAGAAATTTGGGGGATCTGGTACATTGCATTTTAAAGCCGGGAATTCTAGAGAATGATACATGATTTCTGCAAGGATGAACAGCAGTGAGAGTAGTGCTAATGTCACATTCTTGGGCTTTTGACCAGTTTACCATTATGGCATGTATCAGATGCTTTATTGACTGATTGGGAATGAAAGAAAATTTTTAAGAGAATGGAAAATGTAGAACTATTGCTTTTAAACTTGAATTCTTCGTTAAAATATGAGGAAGCTAATGTGATCATCCTTTTCTGCCTTAGTCCTCCGTTCTGATATCCTGAAGCAATTTCAGTAATGTCCCCCCTTCTCTTAGCTGATTTTCCTCCTACTATCTACCCTTACACAGAAACCAAACCAAGCTCTCTACCTCTACCTCACAAAGGGAGAAATTGGGCCTCTGGGTGGTTCCCTGAAGTAAACTCACTACGTATTCAAATGAGACTTGAGGCTGAATTCTAGGATTTTTGCATCTCTGAGTCTCTTACACTTTTTGTCTTACAGAGTCCTTTTCTGTTATTTTCAAAAGAACTCCTTGGGCCGGATTCTACAGTTTTCTGTGTAGGATTTGGTTTCAACAGAAAATCACGAAAGATTAAAATTTACTTTTAGTTACACTTCAAGTCAACTAGGATGTCCTGTTTCTCAACGGGGCTCCAACCCTTTTTTAAAAAGTTTATCTTTCTTTTAAACAAGTGGAGGTATTAACTGGGGAATGCAGATGGAAGACAGGTTGTCATATCAAAATAAAGTAATTCCTGGTTTCCTTCTCCCAAATAACTTTCTTTTTAAAATGTGGGAATTGGGGGCTGGGGATTTAGCTCAGTGGTTTCGCTGCCTGCTGCGCAAGTGCAAGGACCCGAGTTTGATCCCCAGTACCAAAAAAAAGAGAGGGGGGCCCGGGGATTTAGCTCAGTGGTTTCACTGCCTGCTGCGCAAGCGCAAGGACCAGAGTTCGATCCCCGGTACCAAAAAAAGAAAAAAAAATGTGGGAATGGGAGAATGGGTTTAAATGATAGAATTTAGAGTGGCATATCTAGATAACTTTTAAATCAAGAAGCACAGTGGCATTTTAATACTTGTTTGAAAGACTGGTTTAAAAGCTCTGGAGGTAGACTATGTAAACATTTGCATGCTGGTTCCTAAGAATTAATAATTAAACATTTCAGCATGAAATGGACTTACAGATAGACTTCTTTGGGTTTGGAATTCCCTACCAGGTAGACTTAGTTTCAGTCTGATAGAAATGCTGAATGGTTTAAAACCCGATCTGTTTGCTTTTACTCTTTAAACCCAGAACTGGACTTTGACAAGGAGCATGGAACAGACCTATGGGTGGCCACTTCAGGCAGGGCCATAGGGTGTGAGCAGAGCGTGATGCTTTCCTTCCCCTGTGTTGTTGCCCCAGCTCTCCAGTTCTGAGCACATGGTGAATTTGGTAGTATGGTTCTAGCCAGTTCCTGCTTTCAGTCTCAAATTAATTATATTTGAATAGATAAAAGTTATTACATGAAATGTGGCTTATTTCCAAAGCTGCATGATTATGGAGGGAAAAAAGGTTGGCATAGTCTTCTGTAACAACACAGGTAAATGTAGCAATTTATCATTTGTTTTATTTGGTTTCCCATTGCCTGAAAACATACCTTAACTTTATTTATTTAGCTTAAATTCTTTTCTTGGTACATTTTAGGTATGCAATACGTTTACATTTATCATTGGGTGCTTGTACCTGTACATGATGTATCTTGGGTCTTATTTTCCCCCATTCCCTGTCCTCCCTTCCCTATTTACAAAGACTTTGTTTCCATTTTTTCCTTTCCCTTCTTTCCTTTCCCCTTCACCTCCACTTCCCCTATGCCTTTGGACCTTTTTCTTAACATACCTTAACTTTAAAAAGTGTTTTAAAAGCCCTGGAGAGCCTGGAGCCTGGTGTGGTGCCACATACGTCCCAGAACGCTAAGAGACTGAGACAGTAGAATCACAAGTTTGAGCCCAGCCTGGCCAACTTGGTGACTCAGTGAGACCTCCCTCCCCCCTCAAAAAAACCTTTTTTTTTTAAGGGCTGAGGATGAGGCTCAGTGCAAAAGTCCTAGGTTCAATCTCTAGCACCTCAAAAATAAAATAAAAGTCCTGGTGGCAGAATATTTAATTATTTGAATGTCAAAAGAAATGTTTTCATCCTGGAGTCTTGCACAGGCCCTGGGTGCCATGGCACAACAGCTTTTTTCTTTTTCATAGCTGTCTCTGTAGCAATAAGTAGACATTTCACATTTCTGAAGCCTTGGGCTCCTCAGGTCTGTAGAGTCAGGAATCTCAGTGCCCTTAGACTCCAGAGATTTCCTTTTCCTACTTCCCCAGGCT